TACGAGCTGAATGGGAAAGAAGTGGATAGCGTGCGTGATCCGGGTATAGTTAGTACGATTAGAGGTTATCTATGTTACTCGAAAGATGACTCATCGCATCTAGATATTTCCGGCTGGAATTTCCCTGAAAATGCGATTCACGATACAGAAAATGGACATTTTAGCATGCGAATCCCGTTACGACACTTTTTAAACATATTTAATGATTATAATATGATAACTTGTGGAAAACAAACCATAAGATTGGTAAGAGCCAGACATGACAAAAATTGTATGATAATTAAACCAATGGGCGGTGTTGCGGCCAGTGCAATTAAAACAACGGCGGAATTAAAAATTGATAGTGTCGATCTTAGGGTCAAGCACATATTTCCAAACGACGAAATCAAATTGGCTCTGCTGAAATCGATTAGATTAGATCAACCCATATTGATACCCTATAGACGATGGGAACTTCATGAATATCCTGCCCTAACCGCGGGCTCTACCAAAGAAATTTGGTCTGTCAAGACGTGCGCGGCTATCGAAAGCCCCCGATACGTAATAGTCGCTTTTCAAACAAATCGCAAAGACAACGAAGCGAAAAATGCGACGCTTTTCGATCACGTCGACGTAACGGATATAAGATTAACACTAAACGGAGAATATTACCCTCACGAACGTTTACGATTAGATTTTGAAAAGAATGACTTCGTGGAAGCGCATCACAATTACACGGATTTCTACCCCAGTTATAAGGGATGTGAGGAAAAAACTGCGTTGCTTGACTATATGGCTTTCAAAAACTGCGCGATTTTCGTCATTGACTGTTCTCGAAGAAACGACAGTGTAAAATCCAGCACTGTCGACGTAAAGTTAGACATCGAAGCAAAAAAGGGATTTCCCGCGAATACACGTGCCTATTGCATCATCATTCACGATTGTATCGTGGAACAACTACCGCTCAGCGAGATTGTTCGAAATCTAACATAAATACCGCCGGAGGAACCTAATCTTAACCAGTCATATTAAAAATGCGCATCGTTGCGGTAGATATTCAAGGCTTCCAGTTAGAAGATGGATTTGTCGTTAAAGAAATGGCTGTCTACAATGGATGTCAAATTAGTCATTACGTTTTGAAACCGCCGCGTGAATATTGCACGTTGACCGGTGCAGAAAAAAGAACGGTACGCTGGCTCGAACAATATCATCACGGTCTCAAATACAGTTCTGGTTTTGTTCAATATTCCGACATTGATACGTTGATCGGACTACTGATAGAAAATGCTGACTTGATATACGTGAGAGGAAGATCAAAAATGGAATTTTTAATGTCGAAAATGGATCAGGAGGATGTCGCATGCAGAGTCATTAACGTGGAGAAATTCGATGATGATAATTGGTTGAATCCGCCGAAATTTCAACCGGATCACGCCCATTGCATGTTTCACTCCGGAGGAAGACTGCGCATGTGCGCGTTGAGAAATTCTGCCCTTTTATATAATTGGTTGTATTCAAGGATCCCTGTATGAAATAAAACTTTCTTTATTTAAATAAGACTTTTTATTTCAATCCAAAAAAATTAATAATACATTTACACGTAAAAATAAAGCACGCTAATGCTATGATATGAATACAAACTGCGAAACTGTAATCTATTGAAGTATAATTCTTTTTTCGTTCCATTTCTCGAGTAATATTCTGCGTCATCTCACGCAAAATAGCGACTAAAAGCGTTTGGTTCATCACTTCTCTTTGTTATTTTACCTATAAAAGATTAGCTAGGAACCGAATACATTTTAGTATTTTACTGACCTTGAACGAGATGAGAGTCTTGTTGCTATGCTACGCTGTCTTTACTACCTGTTCGGACGTGTCGACGATAGTCGCCGCGCTGCCCGAGGAAGGTGTGATTGAATATTTACAAAAATTCGGATTCCTTTCACCTAACGACAACGAATCTTTAACGCAGATCAATGCGTCGAGTTTGCAACGTGCCCTAATGGATTTTCAGGATTTCTATAATTTACCGGTGGATGGTACTCTTAATAACGAAACCGTCGAACTAATAAATAAACCCCGATGTGGTGTAATAGAAAATGCCTTCACGACTGTTTCGCGATGGCAGAAAACGGATTTAAATTGGTATATTCAAGTACCGCCCAGTCACTATCAAGAGTTAAAAGTGCTGGCAACCGAGGTTTTTAAAATATGGAGTGATGAATCAAATTTAAATTTTTTCTTAAATTATTCAGAGCCGGATATAATGATTTTGATGTCTGACAAATATACTACCCACAGACAAAGCATAAGATGTAAAGGGAACGAATCCTGTCCTTTTGCTTTTGACGGAAGGGGTAACATATTAGGACATGCATTTTTTCCAAATCAACAACAAGAGTGCGTGGAAGTTCATTTGGATAAATCCGAAGATTGGTACTACGGTTTAGAAGTGCCTGCGCCCGGAGGAAAAACGAGCTTGTTTACTGTGTTGTTCCACGAAATTGGACATACGTTGGGTTTGGCGCACAGTAACGATCGCAATGCCATTATGTACCCTTGGTATAGCTTAAATTCTAAGACATTGTCATACGACGATGTTGCAGGTCTTCAACGTTTATATGGTAAAAAAACCACAACCACCGTCCGCGTAACAACTCCGACCACAACAACATCAACTACCACTACTACCACAACTACGAAACCTCCGATAGGGAAAAACGAAACAAAAGTACCAGATTTGTGTCACGTAAATCCATCCATATTTTTGGTTACGTCTAACCATCATATGTATCTATTTTACGACAAATGGGTTTGGATAATAAGATTAGGTGATAAAGTCTACATGGAACCTAAAATGATATCAGATTATGTCCCTATTTACGCTCCTATTTCGCATATCTACCAGAGACCCAACGGACAACTTTTGGTAGTCACCGGTGATTCGTTTTATTTACTTCACTTCCCGAGTTTCACGGTAGTGGGCGACCGACAAAGCGTCCAGCGACTGGGTGTGCCTGCGGGTAAAACAGTGAACGCTATTTTTAATACGTATGGCGGTCGAACGTATATATTTTACGGTAAACGCTACTATGCAGAAATAGACGAGTGTTCTTTGAGTGCGAGTGAACACGGTTTTACTACGGAACTGTTTCCGGGTCTGCCCGACGATTTGTCGGGCGCGTTTCGATACACCAACGGACATTTGTATTTTTTCAAAGAGAAAACGTATTACGAATACAACGAATTTTTGAATAAATTAACGAGAGTCGGTGAAATAGACTTGAGTCTTGTCGGAATTAATTGTCCCACAGAGAGTGTCTTTAAACAAATTAGGGATTTGTTAAGAAAGTTATCGATCTTTCACAACAATGAATAAGAAGTTAGTTTTCTTCGACGATTTTAGAAGCTTGGATACCGATCAACTTGAATTGATTCCTGTGCAACATTTCTTGGAGCATGTGAGACCGCACGATTTGTTAAATATGTGGCATAAGTTACCAGTACGACATCGCAACAATTTTGAATTGCAAACTCATTTGCCCTGCTTTGTTCACTATAACAGACCGGACAGCAAAATGCATATCGACGGCCCGGCACCTCCCCAGAATAAATGTCATTATTGTTTGAGTGTTATAAAAGCAGTTACCGAGATCTAGGATAGATTCATTCGGGCTAGAAACATGGTTTTGTTAAGTGCTCACTTTGTTTTGTTGTCGGCTGTGGTACAAAACGTTTTCTATATACATAAACCTAAGGATGTGATTGAAGCGTTCGTTTGTTTCAAAAATCATAATAATCGGTGCATTTGGCCCGATACGTGGACGCGTATGCAACTCGCTCAGGTCAACGGAATCGACAAGCTACAAACTTTTAGCGTGACATTGTCGAATAACACTACCGCAGATAAGCCGTATTTAAATTACAAGGTACGTTTCGTTTTCGCGAACCGGAGCTACGAAGACCACGGCGAATGGCAAACGATCGCTATCAAGAATTCCAATAACACCAGCGGCGGCGTTAACGACAATTGCGGTAACGAATACAACATCTCGGCAGATCGAAAAACTATTTTAATCCCGCTATATGTAACTACGTGCGCTTGTTTGCTTCTTTTCGCAAAATGCTTATTCAAATTGACTAAATGTAAATATCTCTCTTAATTACACCGATAGTGGGGGGTTGTTGATATATAAGTACATTTGAATTTGATACCGAAGTCAGTCTGTTTGTCACAATGTGTAACAAAGTGGTCACTATCGATGAAAACACGATTTTCGAAATAAAGAATTCAGGTGTCCGTTTCATCTTCAAGAACAAGCACATAGATTTTCAAGTCCAGGATTTTTGGGATTTTTTGTTCTTTCTGGAGGACGAGGTGGGAGAAATCATGTTCTGGAACGACATAACAGTCTACATCGGGAGCAGTATCGAGGTGACCTATTCGAACGAAGAAGAGAGCTGTGAGTTGATACTGAAACGGGATCATGGCGACGAAATTATCCTCGACCGCGATGAAGTAGAAAATCTCATGGACCAGAAACACCGCTTGTACGAAGCATTACGTTGTCTACATATGAGCTAATAAATATTTACTATTGTATCTATAGTTTTTCTTTTATTAAACCGTGATTATTGAGACACTCTGTATAAGTCACTCGACTTGTTTACCGACGACCCGATCACCCGCGTCACCGCGCCACACCGTCTCCGTGCCGCACCGTCACCGCCCTCTACCGGGGGGGCCTACGACGGTCGGAGCGCGCGACATCTAGCAGCGACGGGCGGAACCGGGGCAAAACAGGACGCTACACAAGCGCGCGACATCTAGCAGCGACGGGCGGAACCGGGGCAAAACAGGACGCTACACAAGCTGGGTGGGGGGCGGAGCGCACTCTGGTAGACAGGGGGGACACTAGGACGCCACGCGCGGGGGGCCCCCGCTGCGGGGGGGTTAGGAAATTGAGGTTATGTACGGTTTCTGTTGCTTATATCGGCACTATACATCTACATACATACATATGGAAACATACCAATAGGTTGAACCTTAAACATAAATAAATAAAAGAACAGTATATACCATTTCATAATTTACAACTTGCGATCAAAATGATGAACCGTATCTCTAAAAACTAGTGCTAAGAAATAATTATAGAGCCGTATTCGAATGAACAATGAACAATTCAGCACATTTGCTTGTCAGCTGTTTGTACGCACTGGGAGGCTGCTAGGGGTTTTCACATTGTGCATTGTTTTTAGTTCATTTTGAACGTTTTTCCCATTTGCTTAGATTTATAACCAGATTATTTAATATACGATAACTGTGTCATCCATATTCAAAGGACCACATAAAGTAAAACCAAAGGATAACACAAAGTATACTGTTTTTGCGTATCGTTCAAGAAAGGGGAGTGCTGGACAGGGTTGACAAACAACAAGCATGCGAAAAACCCAGCAAAATTATCGCAAAACATCAAATCTACCCTTATGAATCATAAATTTCACTATCCGGTTTGAACATTGGCTAGATTTTTGATCAATATTCGTACCGATGGCCTTAAAGCTGCATTTCCTATGTGGTTTTTCGAAAACGAAATGTGAAGAGTACAAAGTGCAATGCAATCTCCATTGTAATACCATGTTCGTTTACAGTCGCAGCTACCGCATCGGTAGGTACATGGCTAAAATCACCAATATCGGTTAGCAGAATGTCGCAGCTTTCAAGGTAATCCTTTTTTCTTCATAATTCGCCATCGTATGATTTTTTTAAGTAATACGCAATCACCGTCAGAACTATGCCCAAAACAAACATGGCCAAATACGGTAACCAATCCATATTAATCGTCTTGTTCAGCGTGTTGTTGGCGAAGCGAGCAAGTCTTATGTTTTTGTCGCTGTATGGTGGATAACGAACCGATTGGGCTGATTCCAGCAAACCGGAAAAGTTCTTTATCAACACGCTCTTTTTGTGTGTGAAAGTATCAAAGCTCTTTTTACAGTGATAAGAACCCATTCCCGAATTCCCCACCCCTCCGAACGGTAAAGTTTCAACGTTAACATGCATCAGGGTATCGTTTATGGTGACGCCGCCGCTCGAGGTGTTTTCCAGAAACATTCGCTGAACTTCCTTGTCCTTGGTGAAAATGTACAACGCTAGTGGCTTCTCCCTTCGATTGATAAAATTAACTGCCTCTATTGCATCCCGGACAGGGATTATAGGTAGCAACGGTCCGAATATCTCCTCCTGCATGATTTCGTCATCGGGTTTCACGTCCGTCAGGACCGTCGGGTGGATGAACAAGTCCTGAGCGTCCACATGACCACCCAATGCGATTTTCTGGTTCTTTAGAAAATTGGCCACTCTCACGAAGTGTCTTTCGGAGATCATTCGAGCGTAGTCCCCGGTGTACTTTACGTTGGCCCCGAAGAACTTCTTAACATGCTTCGCCGCGCATTCAACGAACTTATCCTGCACCTCCTTATCGCATAGAATATAATCTGGAGCGATGCAGGTCTGGCCCGAATTGCACAACTTGCCCCAGAGCGTCCGTTTAGCGGCCATGTCTATGTCGGCCGTTTTGTCGATGTAGGTCGGACTTTTTCCGCCCAACTCCAAGGTACAGGGCGTTAGATGATTCGCCGCCGCTTTGTGGACGATTTTGCCCACTTGGGGCGATCCGGTGAAGAAAATGTAATCAAATCGCTCTTTAAGAAGATCAGTGGTCTCCGGTATGCCTCCGAGAAATACCGGATAGCATTCGCTGTCCAAATATCGATTCAGCGTGCTGGAAAATAGTTCGGCAACGTTCGGGGCCAGGTCGGACGGTTTCAATATCACGCAGTTGCCAGCTGCTATAGCTCCTAAAAAAGTTAAGGCCGTTTCGAACAAAAGAGCAAAGCGAAAAATGGGAAAAAATTCTGAAATTAGTGTTAGGTTAAAACTCGGTTAATTAAGGTTAACTATCTCAATGTTTTTAGATTGTATGAATTTTAGCAATAAACGTTACTATAAGCACACATTCTAGTATATTTTGGTACTTAATCGAGAAATATGATTTATTTTTTAAATTTAAAATATACGAGTTAAACTAAATGCTCCTGCTTTTTTAACGACTTTAAAGAATATCAATATAAAATAAAATAACCACAACTAGAACTAGTTGAGTACAACAGTATTAGTAGTAGGACCAGTTTTAGCTGTTTTGTTGTTTTGTTAGCTGATTAACTTAGGCTTAATTTAAGGTTTTATGTCAGTGTAAGTATGAAATATTTGTAAGTCTCTAACTGATTTATCGTTTTGCCTAAAATACACACTTCATAATTTGGCCTAATCAAGTGCCATTTTTCATTTTGAGTGTTGAGCAGATTGGTAGTCTCACAATATTCGGTTTTCTTTGATTTCAGAATGATTTTGAATTATAAATTAAAAAGTTAGTTCTCCCGGCTATTGCTGGTGATTTAATGTTTATATTTTTCATTTTCTCCAATGTCGTCGTTACCACTCCAAGTTTATTTTGAAATTTTGAAACATGTCCGTTTATATTATATATTTTTAATCTTCAACGCCAAAGAATGAATTTTGCGGAAAAGTAGCGAAAAGAAATGAAAATATTTAAAAAACTTTTCTCAAATGTCTCAAAGGAACTACTGTAATACTATTTAGAAATCTTTTGGATTCCTCCTGCGTTGGTTGTTGATGCATCGAACTTGCTGACGTGTCCCCAATCATCCTGTTGGCTTCGTTAGTTTCAGTTAATCTCTGAAGAAGCCAACGGGATGATTGGCGAAACGTCAGCAGGTTCGATTCATCAAAAACCAAAGCAAGAGGAATCCAAAAGATTTTTAAATGGTATACAATCGATTTAATTGCAATATAGTGAGGTTAGAAGAGTAAAGGTCAGTCATAAATATAAATTTCAATTACTCTAATTTCGATATGATCAAATGCAACCAAAAGTCAAACTTTCAAAAAAAAAGTAAAATTATTTGTTCAAAAATTGTTTATGATATTTCTATTGGAAATATTTGCTTTGTCTCAAACTGCTTAAAAACTCATTTGTGAAAAAATGCGCATTACATAGCATTACACATTTTCCAGCTTCAAAGCCTCTTTTTTCGAACCCGTCTAATTTTTATCGTGCACGTTCTTAAAATTGCCTTTCATTTCGATAATTTAGAAACGAGTGCAGTTCAATTTTCAGTGAAACGTCACCGGTGCGTAGGTAGAAACTGAAACCGGATTTATTTTTAGAGGAAAAATAATCTATACCCGCATAGGCGATGCTTTACGCAAATTGGACGATATTAGTCCTAGGTTTTATATAGCGGCTGATTTATTGCTTATGAAGATTTATTTACCTATTGCTGGATTTAGAGTTAGTAATACGGGATAGTTCCAGGCACCCATCACGAGAACCACGCCCAAAGGATCGTTATATATTTTCACTTGGTCGAAGAAGTGCATGAGTGGTTTCCGAGGTTCCTCCGGTTTCATCCACTTCTTGAGATTCTTTATCGCAACCTTAATCTCTGATTTTATTGCTTCTATTTCGAATAGGTAGGATTCTGCTTCAGGCTTCCTACAAAATTACACTTCTGAGTAATGCCAGAAAAGTAAAATGGGATTATAACACTTTTTGTTTTGTTTATGAATTATATCCGGTTTATTTGCTTTTTTTTAATATTGGGCGATTCTACAGCGTAAAATAGAATCATTCGACGTTCAAAGCAAAAAATAAATCTTCACATTCGGAAGTCATAAGCTTTTATTGAGTAAATAAGTTACTAAAAATTAACTTTCTTTATTCAATTAGTCTTAGTCTTAGTTTTGAAGTTGACAGAACCAGTAATTAGAATTATTTATAACTTAGTTAATATTTTATGCCGATAGCTGTAAGTAATACGGCAACAAAGTATTTTTTGGTAAAAAAAATTAAATAAACGCTTAGCCATATAGCTATACCCACATCCAAATATCAACAACTAGCATATTAAATTATACAACATTTTTATTCAACTCAAGCACTGCGCCCTCTACTACTAAGGATATTATTGTTTGTGGTCTCAAAAAACCCCAGCGTACCAATTTCGTAAAGTCATTTATGTTGGACAGTTTCTAAAGTATCGACAAATATCTCATTTTAATTGTGTAATATGCGACATATACATATTTATAGTGCCCTACCGGAAAGAACTTTCACCTATAAATATGAAGTAAGTTTTCATGTAGCAAAACACTTATTTAAGAACATTGTATACGAACAACTTCTTCAAAAAATTTATACTAACATCAGTTTTTTTGTATTCATTAATTTTTAAAAATTTATTAATAGTGTGGTCACTTTTTTTAATTGTAAATATGAAAAAGCCAATAATGTCAATAATATATACAGTATTCAATTTAAAATGATAACGTCACACCCAGTCACAGCTTAACAGAAAGTATAGTTAAAATATTTTAAGTCTAAATTCTTCATTAGTTCTTGCTAAAAATTAATCGAGAATCCTTTGCACAAAACTAATTGTGTCGAAATCTCGTTAACACTAATACTGTAAAAAAAATATTTTTTGGGTTTTAATTTATGAGATTAACAACGCTTCGTGTTTAAAATTAACCAAAGTGTTGGTAGATAGAATAAAGAATATGCTGATATATTTTTTCATATTGGAACTTATTAAACTCGGGGTAATCCCGCACCATGGCGCCGAAGGATCCGATGGCACTACAAGCATTTTATACACAATATGTGGAGCATATTTTCCAGGGTGTAAGAGAGTATTTTTGCCATTTGTGTCTCGACCATGAGATTCATTCGCTAAATTATATTATCTCATTTCAATAGCACCCTGTATATGTTATTATATAATAAAAAACATAAATGTAGAGAATAACTGCTGCGAAGTTGCAGTAAACATCTTTCTTAAAGCATTGCCTTAGCATAAAAAGCCTAAACACCAGTTTCACACTTAACTGGAAAAATCAATCATCAGTTTAACTACAATTCTATAAGAAAAAATGTACTCCACGGCGGAACATCTGAGCAAGAGGAAAGAGTTTTCTTTTTTACCACATAATCTTTGAAATGAATGGAATTTTCGGCATTCAGTTTTTCAATTTGATAGAGATGTATGTCGCCTCAGGAAGAATTAAAGCTTTTCATTTATATATTTCTTATATAACTTAAATGTAAATGGTAAATCAAATTTCCAAACATAACTTATTGAGTATACATTCTATATCTCAGCATTTATGTTCCAATTTAGAAAAAATCCCTCTTAATACCCTAAAACACCTCGAAATATCCTACGATGTCCTAAAATACTTTGGAATTCCCCTGATATCTCTTACCTTTGTAAGCTAAATTACCCCAATCATTTAGCATTTTTCTTGGTTGCTGCGATGTATATCATTTTAATTTTACTCGCCATGATTATTTCGACATTTTCATACTTATACCAATATTGACTATTTTGCATTTGAAAAGCGAGCCCGTAATTTTGTTAATTATACTGAGTGTATCGGAGTAGTAAATCGGTTCCGTTATGAAGCAAATGACCAAGTAATGGAGACGAGCTACGCTTCCCAAATACGAAGCCCATATTAAGGAGACACATTTTCTGACCTTAATTTTGTTTTAATGTTAATCGATTTTTCATACTGAATACTAATTGCGCCTTTCCAACCGCATCAGATTGCGACTCCAAATGTGTTCATTATCGGTTACGGTACTCATATTAAGTTCGTGTATTGCAACTTACCTCAAGTCATCGTGCAATGCTTTAAGTAATGCCTTTTCTTCGACCATCATGAAACGCAAAAGATTCTGCAACTGTTTTTTCCTAAACGTGTAGGGTTTTGTTTTACCGGTATCGTAAATATTCCTGGTTTCTTTCACAATATCGGTAGGACGTGATTTTTCGGGCATGGTTTCGATGTCCACTATGGCTATATTATTGTCCTTTTCGATACCGTTGTATGCCAACTTCACTCTGAAATGAACGCAAATAACTGTGTTCTAACGAATGATCGAAAATAAAATCGAATAAGTGAACCAATAATTATACATAATAAAAAGTGATGATGGTGGACTAGTTATTAATAAAACGGAGCATTTAATTTTGTAATTATTTAAAATTGCATATTTATTGGCATGTATTTATTTTTTAGCGGATACAGGTTCGCCAACAATTTTATCAAACTAGAAGCAATGAAAAGTTGCCTTTTTTACACTAGACATAGAAGAAATAATACTAATAAAGACTTTTTTAAATTGCGTTTTTCGCAATTGGAAAAGCCCAATACGGCGAAAATATTATTAAAATTTGGTAGGATTTTTAATAATATTAAAACTGTGTTGTTTTAAATCTTAACGTTATATGTATTTATTACGTTATTCGCTTTATAAGTGTTTTTTAACTACTGTTGTGGTAATAATATGTTAAACGGCACTTACATCTACATAATAGTCTGCCTCCTTAAATCTCGCCCCAGTGTTAATTCAAAGATTATTTTTTAAATCTCTACCAACTTCTTATTTTAAAACATATTCCACAGTATTCATGGAGAACATTTATCATGGAATTCCTTCATTTTTGAACTTATTTTTTGAGTATATGTTGATACCAATTGCACTTTTTTGTAAAATTTAAAAAGCGCAAATACTTTGCAATTGTAAAAGACCGTTTGAAACAAACTAATTTTGATGTCAACTGCAAAGATCCAAATTTGCCACCAGTAACGTTGACTTCTTGCAGTAGTAGAATTTCGATAGACATAGTGCATTTTGCAAATTTTGTTTAGTTTAGATAATTGCTTCAAAAATCTAAGATATGAAAGTTTTAGATGCTTATTGACACATCAGACGATGTAATTAACTGAAAAATATATCATTAACTTTCATCCACCATAATAATCCACACGGCATATACTCGTATTCGTATGCGGGCTCAAAGTCCCATCGGTGCGTGTTTTTAAACTTTTTCGTGTTCCTTTTGTCTATCGACTTTGCCCTCTCGCCATTGCCATTTGTTCCATTGTCCTTTGAAGTAAACAATGTTATGTTTATTATCGACGTCTGACCGTCCCGTTTTTTAAAAAAATATGGAAACCTTGGGTCGGTGTAATTGCATGTAATTATACTATAAATATCTTAATCAATAATAAATTCTTAAAACAAGCTACTTCGGCGTTTACCACCTTGTTTAATTAATGCGGTATGGAAAGCTTTTTGTTTTTCTCACGGACAGGGTCAAATATTCACATCTTTATTCATTCGTATAGACCAAAAAAAGGTTGAAAATTTGAAAAAAAAATTGCTTTAATAATTAATTATTTTCCGGGACTATTCTTTTGTTACTATTTAGCGTAGTTGGTCTTTAAGTGTCTGTCACGTACATTTTTGAGAATAATGCTTTGTTTAAATAAGCAATAATGTCCAAGAAACAGTAACAAGCAACAGTTATTATTTAAACAAATTTAATTTAATTTAGTACGTAGTTGTATGAATTTGATGTATATGTTATATACTTAGGGAAGTGTGCTTTACAATTTATCCTTATCTGTTGCTAAATGAAGTAATTATTGCTCCTTACTAAGAAAGATTTTAAGTCAATCAGCATTAACTCCATACATCAAAAAATATAAAGGATAATTGTATTTTTGAAGGTGCTTGATTTTTATTAGTAATACCTACTTTTGTGTTTGCATTATAATTTTTTGAGACTTGTAGAGAATAATTTTAATTAATGAAAAAATCAACCATATGAATGTAATACAAAAACTATACATATTAAATGTATATAAAGCTTCTTGGAGATTAAACTGAATTTAAGAGTATTTATAATATATTGGGATATACAAAATAATATCAAACAGACCGCAACAGCACACAATAATTTTGACTCGCACTCATCTTTTTTAATGTTGCCACATTAGATAAATAAAACGTATCGTTTATTTTTTCAAATACAGAGGGTTTCTAAAAACTTATCATTTTGGGAAACCTCAGTAAGATTGAAAATTTATGTTTTTTTTTCGTAGATTTAATTGATGATTCTATTGATTTTGGAAAAATTGTATATTTTCCGCAAACCCCACAAGGCCATATTCATTTTGTCAAATATATATATATATATATATATATATATATATATATATATATATATATATATATATATATATATATATTGACATTTCTATTCGCTTCATATATTAATGATATGTTTTATATTTTTCATTATTAATTTGCCTTCAATCAAAAACTACTTATTGATAACATCAACCAAATTTTTCCTCTATTGATACGAAAGTGATTTAAATTATCCATGTGTCTATTAACTTTTTTTGGATTGCGTCCCATGCATTGCATGAGGAACTGATCGAATAAGATTATTACTTAAGTATTAAAATGGCGCCTTTTAGCTTATTAAATAAATAATTAATTCATAGTCAAAATGTTAAAAATCTTATTGCAGCGTCAATAAGTGTTTTTAAAACCTTAATACTGATTTTTAAAACTTTGCATCAGCAAACAAAAATATAAAGTTTCAGTAGTTCTTAAGAAATAGTCGACTGATGAAAAAAGCTCTTATTTTAGAAATGTAATGCCATTGATGACACATTTTTGAAACGTTTACAACAAGGGAATAATACAATAAACATTTTTATATATAATTTATATATAAAAATTAAAAAGTTCTGTGAATCTCGAAAATGTGACTTTTCGAAAAATTATTGATATTTATTTACTAGTGATGCATAAGAAAAAATCACTTTCATTGCATTAAAACCAAACTAAGATAAATTGTTGCATATCTTGAAAAACAACCCATACCTCAACCGTGCCCTTCTATCTTTTATTTATATGGAAAAACACCTTTTCTTAATAAAAATTATTCCACTAAACGTTAATTTAGCGTCAATATTTGATTGCGATAAATATTTAATTTAAACTAATCGATCAACAGTGAAAACAATTAAACGAAAATGTAAGCTAACCTTGGAAGGATGTATTCTCCGTCCATGCTAACGGACGTCACTCACGAACCAAACGGGTCACTATACAATTGCACAGCTTGGGTATCGGTGGCGGTCTGATTATCAGCTCACTGCAAAATCTAATATTACCTGATCGGGAATGTAACCGCACATGGCCAAACTGCGACTCATTAAATATTAATGCTCTTATTCGTAGGCGCCAAGTTTTCCACTTTCATCCTAAAATTTATGAAATAAACGTCAAAATGTATTGTTTGTTTTTCGACTGGGACCACCTTCGAGGCTACAAAAGGTCTTTTTTTATGAATTTTCTAGTAACAGTCGTTTCAATTATCTATCTGCACCTTTTTACCGAAAGTCCGGAAGAAAATTATTTCTCGAATTGACTTAAATTATTAGACCGATCTAATTTTAAAATTTTAGCACATGCATCATAATACAAGAAAGAAACAAGTCGAGTCAATGACTCTCTGAGAATTTCTGCAAGTTTCATCATATTTTTGAAGGTTTCTTTTTTATTTTTTGTCTAGACTGACAAACTTAGATTGATGGCAGTTTCAGTTTCATCATTTTAGCTTCTAAAAATGTATTTTGTTTTAGTCTAAGAATTAATTAAATTAATTAATAATTAACATTTAATTTAATTAATTAAGCCGTGGTATAATTTCGAAAAGAAACAGTAAACGCCATTTTGTTTCTTCGGGGACAGCGGCTATGACATTAATAAGAGCAACTTTTCCAAACTAAATATATATATATAAAGTAAGGAATTGTTAACTTAACCAGTGTCATGCTACCAACAATAATATGAATGATACTATCATCGAACAATATTTTAATTTATTTATTATCCACTTAACGGTAAATTTTGATGTTTTTTTTTAAGCCCGAATAAATCTCAGTGCCATTTCGAAAAATAATTTAGGCTCCGATAACGCTCTGACTTCATCCCGTATACTTATCATGAGAGTGTTACTATCCAAAAAGTTGTACCTATAAGCTATACGACAATTTAACTAAAAAAAATTCAAACGACTCTTTGCCGATACCAATATTTTCAAAAACGAAAAAACGAAATAAATTGAATTGGAAATAGCGGAAATTTATGTTAAAACCACATCGGTCTATCTTTAATAATGAAATAGGATTAAATTAAACCATTTCCAGTGTGATTTCAATGCCAATTTGGTATCAAATACCACTTATTAAAGACAACAATTTTATAATTTCTAAATTCCAATTAAAATTAAAAATTAATTCTTTTGCCGGTGTGAAAACATTTGCCTAATATATATTTCGTTTCAATGTATTTTACCGTCGATAAAGTTGGCGATAGAATTTTTTTTGAAGAATGTGGATATTCTCATTTTCCATTGTTGTTTTTGATATGTTACTCTGCTTCAATCTCAGTTTAAGGAGAGCGTACATTTTGTGTAGCTTTACTTTGTTGATTTTGCTTTCGAATTTGAATTAGTATTTAAAGCGTTGATATAAAGTTTATGATATTTGGGCGCGTCCATGATGTGACTCAATTTCTGCATAAATTACTTTTCGAAGAAGTAAAAAATTTCCATTAACAATTGATGATTTTTTTGAATTTTAATGTTTTGGGGTACTAATGTGTTATATTAGCACCCCAGTATCACGATTTGACATATTATTGCCATTCAAGTTATAGATAATAATAACAATAATAAGTAACTTTATTTGTAAGAAAAACGAAATACAGTATCATACAGACCCATCTGTGACTTTTCGTCGATTATATCAGCCATTACAAACCAGTTTTTAAGAGAAGACCCTATATAACCACATTCAAAATAATCACTGAAAGCATAAAACGTATATATTGCAAGACAATTAGTTGGGAAAAAATATCTTAAAAACTGCGATAAACTTCCTGTCATAATTAACACAAACAACAAAAAAAAACTAATGAAAAAAGAAATTGGAATTATTGAATATTTTAATTAGTAAGCCAATTTGTTATTGCCTAGTTTGTAACGAAGGGGAAACTGCCCGGACCTCATAGCACCGTTGCTCCGGGAGTTTAAATATATTACAAAAAAAGAAAAAAAAGTTAATTTTAATCTAAAAATTTAATTTGATTATTCTGAAAACAAATTTTATTCTGTAAATAATTTAGATTTTATTAATGTGATGTAGATATCCCTAGTGTTTTATCTGACTTTCCAATTTTTGTTACGACAGCTGATGATTTTTGAAAAGCTGACGTTCTACAACGAGTTACTTTGTAAGTTAAATTATTCCTCGTTCTTTCGGAATGTAGAAGAAAATTTTATGATTTTATAAACAAACCTATGATATATGCGGTTTCCGTTGAATATTAAAATATTAAAATGATTTAAAAAAAGAGGTACCGCAACACACGAAAGACATATTGCAATTACAATTAGTAATGTATTATAACATTGGAGTTAATGAAAAGGAGTTTCATCAACCTGACCTTGTTTCTTAACATTTTGCGCCAATTTGTTTGAGCATTTGTTATTTATTCAATAAAACATTGCACAGTTGTTCAATGGAATCTGAGTCATTTGACAAATACCATTGCTGTGTACAAAATAGCAATAATTTCAAATTGAACTGTAACAGTGCATGCGAATGGATCAAAGAACGTATGGCTAAGATTGCTCCATTTTAGGAAAACTACCCAAGGTTCTCGCCGGGTCATTGAAATCACCGTCCGTGATAAAATATGCAGCCGTCTCTAGAGGTAAACCGGTAACTTTACGATTGCAGAGGGGATCTGGTTATATACCAAGTGCAGTAAAGCCAAACATTATTAATTAATCCTAAAAACTTATATTGCCCAAATTGGAATCTGGTTACTAATCGTACCCTAAGGTAAGCAAAATTTTCCTTGTTGGTCACGTCACTGAACAAATCTCATACCAAAACAAAAAACCAGTTTCGGCCGAGTAAGATTTATTAATAATAACAACAATATTTTCATCGCAACAACGAAGTGTTTCTTGAATAAATTTTCATAAATTAAAAACGCATGAAGTCGGAAGCTATAATTAGGATAGCGGGGCACATTCGGCAGGAACGTGGGTCCAGGACTAAATTCCCTTTTCTCGGAAAAGATGTCTGTTGTATAACGATAAAAGTCCACTGTCCCCTTTAAAAATGATGCCAGAAAAAGGGAAGAAAACAGCAAGTTTCCATAGACTGGAAGATAATTTTCACTCCTCGTACCGCAGTCTAAAACATTCTTGTTGCCGTAACAACTTTGATTTATCCATTTGGGCATGTGTCAGTAAAATAGGGATTTTTTTTAGCAGTTCTGCCAAAATTTGTTCTAATTTTTCAAATAATTACAAAAGGCACTGGAAAAAGTTATTTAGATATCATATTTCATCTTTATCCCGTCAATCCGATTGAAATTATTTTAATTAACAAAAATTACATTAACACTCAAACAAAATAGATCTTTTTAAATCATTGCGGCACCCCAGAAAAAGATAAAATTGCTATAGATATATATTTTTACGTGAAATCCAGCGGTGTAGTCAACAACTAATCTTTTTTCCATTAATATTTTTCAATCCCCAGAAATTCGCATTTCTTTTTCTTTAAAATTATGCACTTCTGATGTAGACTGACACATAAAAACGCAATATGATAGGAGGAACGAACATAAGTTGGCAATTGGTATACGAAAAATCAATTTTTAACAAAAGAACTTCAGGAATAAAGAACGTTTCGGTTTATCATGACTGACTTTATATTGGGAACAAAGATTAAATTCGATATTTACAGTTATATTGTAATGGAAGACAAATTTAAGTCAAATGCTACCGGATTTATTGAATAGCGTGCCGCTAGCAAATCTCCACAATGCTTACTTTTTATATTTACTGTTAAAACATTTTGACGATCGCTGGGCTGGTGTAACCAGTTAGCCAGTTTTACTTAAAAAACAAAAATTACTTCAATCCAGGCAATACTATGAAGCAACTAAAATGCAATCATTCCATCGTGTTGATCTTTGGAAAATCCTCGGTTTATCCGACACGGAGTAAAAAATGTCCAACTTGAGTTTTTCTTTGAATAATGCGTTTTTAAGGGTGATACATCAATTTAATCGAGACAAGGATCGATTTTTTTGGGATAAATAAATACAGGGTGAATCATTTAAAAATACTAAAATTTTGATGTTTAAAAAAATTGTTGACTATCTGTAGCGGTTTTGAACTGTTTCATATCATAGAGGGTGTCCGAAATATGATACCATCATGATGCGAAAATTATATTTCGCCCTGTATCTCGGGTTAGAAACAGGGTTCCGTAATTCTGTTTGCGGCATTCAAAGTCTCACTAAAAACGGACATGTTGATGTCTAAATAACTTTTTCAATGTTGCAAATATATCTATCTGGAAACAGCAGTGTCCAACATATATTTAATTACGTTCTGAGAATAGTAAAGGAAGCAGAGTGTACCATATCGCATATATTGCTTCAAAAATATAAAACCTCACACTTTCGGCTACCATCGCAGCTAACATTAACAGATCGCTATATATTTATCCAAAAAGTAGTTTAAAATTAAATAGTAATTAAAAATAATAACGATAGCGACCTAAATTATCAAAGCCTGTGTGTGTAACTGCAGTGGAAACTTTTAGCAATGCAGTCGTTACACTTGACACCGCATAACCTTCAACAGTCGACAGTGACCATGGGTTGAATTTAACGGTCGATATTCGATGGCAATCGGTTTGCTTGGCGCCTCGATAATCACATCTAAGCTTAGCTTTGCAGAAAAAAAACACTCGCGACAGTCAGACAGCATCGAATTATCATTGGGCCTTTTTATTTAATAACTTGCTTACCTATTCAATACTATTTGACGGGCGCAATTTGGCGTTTATAACTGGCAGTGTGATTTCGGTGTTCTAAACAGCTGATCAAGGATAACTAAATTAACGAAACGACCGTTTACGAATGCGGAAGTCTAGATCACTGGTCCTTAATTATAAACGTTTTGTTTAAATTATCAGATGTGCTAGTGAATGGCGATGATGTAATGTTTGATATGACAGATAAAAGCTTTGTATCTTATTTTAGAACGAAGATACACGTGTAGAGTTCTGTCTGCATTGTTGTCTGAATTAGAATAATATTTCCTATTTCAAATCGTCGAGTACTCCTCGATTAGTACGTCAGGAATATTAAGAACTAATTCAGCTAAATTGGAGAATATGTTGTGTCGGCCTTTACTTTCTGACTGATCGCAATAAATTATTTTTTTTATAATGTTGCGTGGGGGAAGTGTCATTTAACGACGTCAGCGATCGGATGTTTACGGAAATATTACCCACGGTTTGAATTTTGACGTTTGTCAATTCTGACGGTCATGGCTCAGGTCGTCAATCAGGGAATATATTTTTGTTGCTTTGCAAAAATGTACCCCAAACCTAATGGTGTTCTTGTATAATATACTATTTCAGTTGTTTACAATTTCTAAAAAATATCTAGCGTGCTGGAAACGTCATTTTATCACGTCAGTTTCCTTTCCCACGAATCCGAGCCACTTCGGACATTTCCGAGATTTTGCTGCTCTGGTTTGGGAGCAATCGGATGTTTTCGGAGATATTTCCCACGCTTTGAATTTTGAAGTTTGTCAATTCTGACGGTCATGTCAGTGAATATATTCGTGTATTTTTTGGTATTTTACAGACGGGAGTAGAAAAAAGTATAGTATGTAACATGTTCGGTAAATTATTTAACTCACTCGTTTAATAAAAACTCGCTCCACTCGTGTCAAATAAACTCGTGAGTCAAATGCCGGTTACTGCACTTGTTGTATAATATACTAATTCTCGATCTATCGATTTCTCGTTTCGCCAAACATGCTGCTGTCTTCTGTCTGAAACTGTCTGAAACTGACAGCGCTTTGAAGAAGCCAGCAGTAGTATTATAAAATTTACTATCAATACTGCTTCAGTTAAACCTACGATCAATTCAGGATGACTAGCATTGTTTCCAGGATCAAATTTTTTGGTATTGGACTTTCCGTCACAAAAAGCCTATTCTCTCTCAATTGTGATTTCAGTTTCAAGGCGATAAGCATGAAGCCTACGTTCGTCTCACCCTACACCAGCACTACAGGGCTGTGAAAGAAAAACGAACCAACATCAGCAGACCTTCCAGGGATGGCAACATTTGCTTCGCCGAAGGTTTTAATTTTAAGATGGCTCCGTCCCAAGCCGACGTCAGCAGCTTAGCTTTCCACGTGTTTCAGGCAACACCTGGTTACGGTAGGGGTACGTGTGTGTTTGTAGTGGCTTTTTTTCCTTCGTTTTTTCTTTGCGGAACATTAGGTTTCGCCAATGTTCATTCGATAGACGGGCGTTGCTGTAGCGGCTAGATTTTCTTTTTGCATTAGTCACATTAGATGCTGAGGATGCAAATGCAAAACATTTTGTGAGATTAACTCTAGATATATTCAAATTTTAGAATGTGAAAGCCCAGGAAACATTTTCCAATTTATTGAACACAAATGCGACGTCAGTCAGCATTCGTATCAAAGTGGTAGCCGTGAATTTTAGCAGGCACAGAGCAGTGTCATTCGCTCATTGCACTGTATTTACAGTTCAATAAATCGCCCATACAAACCAATCTTATACAGGTGTGATGGTTTGGATGATGAAGTAGAAGTTTTTTATGACGGCGCCAAGAGAACACTGGAATTATCCAAATCCTCGAAAGTTAATATAAATATAGGTGTTCTTAATGCAAAAAATGAGATCGAGTGATGCACTTTAATCAAACTCCAAAGCGTCTATGCAGATAAAAATAGACTTCATTATTATTCACAAAAGATTCAGGAATATCATACAAAATGCTAAGACCTACCCACAGATCAGAAAGGATCAGGCCGTATAAACTATAGATACAAAAAAGCTTACAGTATCAGCAAGAAGAACAGAAGTGCAAGAAGAATTAAATGCAAGACTGGGTATCATTCATCAAACATTAAATGGAGACGACATTGAATACACATGAAGACAGATTAAAACATCCGTAGTAGAGGTTAATCAAGCTAAGCTGAAAATTACCAAAACTATACATAAAGCTTAGATCACCGATGACATAAAAATAAATCATATAAAAATAAAGACCTTACTAGATACAAAGCGCTCCTCAAAGAAATGAGGGTTAAGATTAAACAAACACAGACCACTGCAACGAAATAAAACAGTTAGAAGCCAAACATGAATCTTTTAATATTTACAAGACAATCAGATAGTTACTGTTTAACATCAAAAAAGCAACAAGACAATCTCATGAATGATCAACAGCAAATTCTTAGTAAAGCAGAAGAACAATTATAGAAATGGATAAAATATATTGCAGATCTCTTTGGAGACAATAGGAGTACGGCACATAATATTACTGGGGAAGACGGGATAAATATCTCTCATACACGCTATATCAAGTATAAAATATGGAAGGACACCAGGATCAGATGAAATACATATAGAGGTCTTAAAAACGTTGGAGGAAGATATCGCTTTCACACTTCTGTTAAGTTTGCTAAACTGCATATACAAAAACTGGAATAATTCCTAAAGATTGGCTCAGGTCAACTTTCATTGCTCTACCAACGAAAGCTTACTGCATATAGTGCAAAGATTATCGAACGATGTATTGAAGTTGTCCTTGAAAGTCATTCACTCCAGAATATACCTAAAATGCGAAGAAAACATTGATATATCTCAATTTGGTTTTAAAAATTATTTCGAGAGAGGCGCTGTTTAACATCCATACAGATGTGAACGTTCATGGATATGCCTGCTTCGTAGATTATGAAGAGGCATTTGACAGTGTTCAACATGAAAACTCTCACGAAACGGTCTTACTAGCAACAGATAAGAATTATTTTCAGCTACTTTTATCAGAGATAACAGACCATAGCCAACAAATGGGTCTACGCTTAAATATAAAGAAAACCAAATGGATATGCATGAGCAAAAACAAAAACGTAACTAATAACTTAACAGCTATAAGCGTAAATGGAGAAATAGTAAAGGGAGTACAAATATACAAGTATTTGGAGTGCTGGGTGCATGAAAACTGGAACTCAACTCAAAAACAAAATAGAGCAAGTAAGAACATCTTTTAAGAACATGCAAAATGTGTTAACCAACAGAGCTTTAAAAATTCCCTTAATAATACGCTTATTATATTGATGTCTTTAGCATATGATTCTACAATATAGAAGCATGGACCCTCACTGAAACATTGTGTAAGAGGCTTGAGGCTTCCGAAATGTAGGCTTACCGGAGAATGTTGAAAATATCATGGGAGAGTGAAGAATCAAGCGGTTCTGCAACATATGAAGAAAGAAAGAGAGATACTTAATACCATTAAAAGGTGAAAGCTGAAATATCAGTGGTATGGAGTAAGCATTACCACATTGTTTAGATCTGCTGCGGACAAAGTAAAGATCATGCAACTGATCGCCAATGTTCTGGGAGGACACGGCACTTGAAGAAAAAGAATTTTAGTACCGCTCAGAACTGAGGATATTTTTCCATTTGCCTTCAAAAATTACAAGTCAGCGTTTAAAAGAAACTGAAATGTATTTGTAACTTTCTTATTAAGGGAAATATTTGCTCCACTCTTTACTTAGGTACAAGGGATGAAATAAAGTTTCCGCATCTCAGAGCTGTTTTATAAGCATGATTTGTAACTTTTGCCTTTGATATAATTCAATCAAAAACGGACTTTTGTTAAACAGACGTAAGCAAAAGTATTCAGGATTAATTTATTATTAGAAAACGAAGCTTTCAATACTCATTATCCAAAGGAACTTTGGGTTTATTATCTATAGCAATGTTTGACATTGCAAATTGATTTGGAACGACAATCGTGCATCGTACGATGTTTTTACAGTAACGTCGACGCGAGCAAACCTCGCGTATCGGAATTATTATTATTATTATTATTTTAAACTCTTATATATATTTTAACTGTTTCGTTAAATTTGTGTGTATTATGTGTGTGAGTGCCGTATACAAATCATTTTTTGTTGGACTTTTATCTTTTATCAAGGGTATGACTTTTTTATTCTCATAGTTGGAAAAAACCAAAACAATAATATTTCTAGGCACTATGACAAAACCAAACGCTTTTAAAGTATAAACTTCCATATGATGCTACCTCTTCAATTTTAAGATTTGTGTTTGTCTCTTTTTGGTAAGGTTCTTTGTAATTCCGTTGTGTATATGTAAAAAAAAAAAAGAACTGTACTATAACATAATTTTAGACTGTACCCCTTTCTGAAGAAGGTCATAGAAGACCGAAACGTCAATATATGGACAAAAAAAATTTTAATCGCTTTTAATACAAAGACCTATAACCCAAGAACCAAAAGCTAAACATATATAAATATATATATATATATATATATATATATATATATATATATATATATATATTTCTACTCATTTTAAATAATGCTTTAAAATATTTAAAATGCTTGTTCAATAAAACTGTTTCTTTCCTGAGTTTGTGTACAAAAAACTATTTATTTCTTTCTATATAACACACTGTTATTACATATAGTTAACAGAGACTCACTTTTTAAAACAGATGACAATCACACGGTCATAGAATAGTCGATAGTAATAAATTTCAAAAAGACACCGGCCAAAAAAATTGACGTAAGTACTACTGAATCGGAAAGAACTAACGCGTAACATAAAATTTGTAATGTTAAGTGGCTTCAGGCCTGAGAACAATTAGTTAGGTTTTAAACAAATCTTATTTCATGAGAGACACGTGGATGATATCTGTTTACATTAAAATGCCGATAACAAGTTAGATGATTTTCTTGTTTTTATCAAGTCCTTGTGAATTGCGATAGGGGAGCCTTGAAAGTTAACTGATTTTTAATAATGCTAATCGACAGGTTGCTAGAGTAAAATTTGTCACAGTATTGCGCAAATCAGTGATTTCACTCAATAGTTCCTCTCAGTTTCCACATTGGAATAGGATATTTGTTATAAACGAAAGTACTCAACAAAGCATTTTTCCCCTCCATAAAATAATAGCAAAAGTATTCTAACAATTCTTACTAACAATTTAAGCTCAAAACAGTTAGCTATTGCACTGCTCTGCAAAACAAAGCGAAAATTTTAAATGGCGACAATGTAATTTTAAGTGTAAGGAAACTTATTTTACACTTGTTTCAATTCCTGTATGTTTTTGTAATTCTTTTTTTCGCTATTTTCTTTTTTGATTTGTGCTTTTGTTGTTAGATGGTGCCTAGATTTTTATATAAACTCATATCTTACTACGCATCACCGTTTCCCTGTCATGATGTCTCCTTCGCCTTCTATAGATATTTCCAAAGTTTATTTAAGATAAGCCAAATCAAAATAAGTTGATAAATGTATACCAGAAATGCGGCAACAACATAAAACGGTTTACGCAAAATATGTATGTCATTATGAAAGCAAATGTCATTTTATGGTTTTTTTAAATAAGGCAATTTACGCCCTGATAACACTCTGCTGCATATCCACTACGGCGACTAAAATCATGTATTCATATCAAGAAAGCTTTTTTTTTAATTTATAAGTTAAACAACAACAAATAAAACAACAAAAACTATACGCATTGTGATATATTTTACTAATTGAATAGTCATCTTAACACGAATATGACAAAACGAGATGAGTGTTTTAGCTTTAGCTTGTAGTAAATGTGATAGAATTTTAGACTGCATTAACTGAGGAGATTTTCATAACAATGTTAAATATGCGGCAACTACTATGGGATATTTGTTAACGGCAGCAGATCTACTTTCTTCTGCAGCAATAAGACAAGTTGGTCGACAAAGTAACACACTTTCTATATAGACATTTTCCCGTCGATCTTGCGTAAGATTACTTGCCTATATTATATTCCCACATACAATGACCATGTTTTACGCTTTAACAGAGCTAACGAAGATAGATATTGAATATATATTCCATTTACTATTCATCAAGTTATGCGTTTTATCTGTTTCTCCAGAAGTTTTCACCCTTCTAGGGGATATAAATTCTAACACGTTCATAACTTTGTTTACCATACGTTTGTGTTTCAGACAAACTTATCGGGAAAGTGGTGTTGGGGTCCTATATGTTTACCAGAGGCAAGGCGCTGACCCAATGGAACACGGCCGTTTCAAATTCGATGGAGCACACTCAGTGTTGGCATATATTATCCGAATAAAATTGGATTTTTTATATAAGAACCCAAATATCTTTGGATGCGCGTGAACTTTCTACGTTTGGATAGCTGCTGAGAATCATCGGAAACAGATTTTTTTCACTTGAAAAAATTAAAATATTTAAAACGCGAATACATTAATTAAAATGTAATTTTAAATACTATAGATAGATTTACTATAGGTAAGGATAAAAATTACTTATAGTAAATCTATCTACAGTTATTTCATGTACTCACGTTTTAAATATTTTAATTTTCTCTCGTATTAAGTATTACTAAGTATCGTGCGCGCTTTCACAGATGGAACGTACTTTTGGGTCTAATTATATCTTAAATAATATTTTAAGAGCTATGGCAGTCAAGATGGGATCATTTATTATTAACTAGTATTTTAAAAAAAAACTGTTAGAGTAGCTAAGGCCGGGATTATCCAGCTCTTTATTATTACTTCTTACTCGTATTCGTATCGCAAGTTCTTTAAAAACGACATAGTTTTTCTTAATTAATTTTACGGAAATATATAAACTTCGGAATTCATAACTTTCAAGCTTTAAGTATATTATTTAAGACTAGTATATCAAGTAACAAGTTTTTTTAATATATACACAAATTACCCAATGGTACCTAACCATGATTAAAGTACCGAAAACGTTCGAATTAGCACGGGGCAATCTTGAATAAACTCGACGTTTTGAAGTGACAAATTGCGCACGCCTGATCAGTGAGGAATTAGGTATATATAAAAAGTTATTTTGCGTCCTAGAAACATATACCGTAAATAAGGTTTTGAAAAGTAATTAATGAAAAAAGAAAAAGTTGCATTTATTAAACACTGGAAATAGCAGATAATAATAACAGACTGCAATAGACTCTTGGTTTTGGATAACCGTGTTTAACAAATAACGAATACATTTAAGAAGTTACAGATTTAGATTATAAAAAATTCGAAGGATAATCGCGTCCGAAATGAGTTTAATGTTATAACATATAAAATTAAGAAACACGTGGATGTATGTTTATCAAACCAATAAAACTAGATAAAAACAAACACGTCTTTTATTTATTGCAAAAAAAGTTTTATTAAAATTAAAAATTAAGTGCCTACGACAATAACGATATTATTTACAAACTAAGTTGTCTAGAGAGTATAATTAAATGTGCGCTAATCACCGGTCATCATTTCCATGAATTCTGAAAAAAACAAACTTAGCATCACTTTTTCCATTTTTAGGACATCATAGCATAGCATCACAGCAGCATTAACCATTATTTCCGTTTAAAATTTTACTTTTACATATCTAAAATCGAATTGTTTGCATCATGCCTAATTTTAAATTGTCCTTAATTACCATTTAAAATGATTGTGTTGTTCCACGAAATACTCGCAACGAAAATTAGCGCTCAAAAATAAGAAGCGTGCTTGTAGATATCATTACCAACCAGCGAGTATTAAAATTTTATGGTAAATACATCGATATTTCGGCATCTGTCTCTTTCGATAACGTTATCTTTTGATCCACCTTGAATATGTGGTGGGCATAATACAATTAGAAACAATTCTTACTTATCTTTTCAGAAATCGTTCTATACTTAGCTTCTCAGGTTTGTGACGAAAAAAGTTAATGATATTTTAATTAACAATAGGATTATTTTTATGTTTTTGCAATAAAATTTCATATTTATCTTTAAATTGTGTACCTAAACATGGATGCTAATTTATTTATGTTTATTGGAAACATATATGCATGCGAGATCATTCCACCCTGTACAAAAATCTTATAGGGTTAACATAAATAATTTCCCATTAAAACAGTACAACCTAGGAAGTTGACCATTAAACTCAACGACGCAGATGAAACCAATATAGTAAAATTCAAAATTTACCGTCGAAATCGACGGTTCCTGAGCCGTCAGTATCAATTTCCGCAATAATGCCATCCAGTTCCCTTCCAGTCAACTTGTCATCTAACGCTCGAAGAATTTCCTTAAGAGTTCCGGTTGTTATGTAACCATTGCCCTCTCTGTCGTACAACCTATAGCAATTTTGATCAAAACTAACTTAGTTGATAACATATAGCGTCAGTTTACAGACCTAAACGCTTCCTTGAGCTCTTGTTGTGTACTTTCGTCGTCGTCTTCTTCCAAAAAATGGATCGCGATGTCCGCGAATCCGTCGAAGTTGACTTTTCCCGAACGATCGGGATCTTTTTGTCTGATTAGGTTGTTTAGTTCTCCTTCATCGAACAACTGTCCCATCGTGTTCAAAATGGTGGCTATTTTAACAGTTTCTATATAGCCGGTTTTGGCTGTATCGAACATCTGAAAGGCTTTACGAATTATGGCCATTTTCTGTTCGTCGTCAGATGCCTGCAAAATGGACAAGTAGTTTGTCATGTCAAAAGGTGTTAGAAGGTGAAATGTGCAACATGTTTGCAATTGGCAATTATGTAAAGTACAATTGAAGGCTTTGGTAGTACGCGTGTCTTATTTACTTTTTTTTTTCGCTTTGAATCGATTAAAAATAAAATATTTCAATACCAGATTTGAACGTTGAGCATTGAGCATTGACCAAAATTTAATATACTAATCAAAACCCACATATTTATACAGTTATTGTCTTCATGAAAAAATTTTTGAGCAAGTTCCTTGTGTGCAAGCAAATTTAAAAAACATAAAATAAAGTTTTATTTTATATATAGGAATACAAATTTCATAAGACGTTGAATAGTTTTGATAAGATATAAAGCGATGTTGTTCAATGGAAATAATATGCATTTAGTGATAGCTCACGCGAGTAAACCGAGAAGAACAATTTGTTTCGTCCCCCAAGAAAGAGGGAAAAACATTTAAGGCAAAACTTAAATAGTTATAATTTCTGGCAGCTTTCTATTAGGTTTAGGCTTAGGTTTCTTTAGGTTAGATATAAAATTTAACCAGAATATCGAAAGCTCACGACAAATCCAAGCCAAGTATAACCAATTATAAAAAATGTAGTATACTCCAAACAGAGATCATGTCAAGATTGTTAAGGTTTTTAGTAGTATTTATAAAATGTGTTATATTATTTATTTATTATTATAAAGTTTGCTTAGAATACTCTGGCAGCCATGTTTACAAGATTTCAAGTACCATTTTTTTAAATGATTATAATTAATTTTGATTAATATGTTTTAGCTTGTAATGATAAGAAGGTAAATATTTTAGAAAGGACAATACATAAACACAGAAGTTAAAGCATACGTACAGTTCTGTTTATAGAAACCCCCTAATTAATTAATATCTGGACTGAATAAAGGTCACAGTAATACACATCATTATTGTGAGACCAACCCTAAATAGCATAACAGATGGGAGCATAATATGCTCCAGAACATTCATAATAAAAAATTCCCTCGAATCGGCAGCATACACAAGCCCATTTGCACTTATCCAACCCCATATTTCGCCAGAAAAACGCTCAGGCCTAAAAGCGAGGTCGCTAGTACAGCGCTCTTCAAATCTTGTTCCGTCTCGTCGACATACTCGAATTTGCCCCATACAACTTACTTGAAAAGTTTTTTTGATCCATGAATGGGTACTAATATTGAGGTCCGCGATATGTGTAATTTAATACAAATATTAATCGTCCTTCTTAATGATGATCTCTTAAGTGGTCCCGAAGCATAACATCCTCTTCGGGATTGCAAATTTTAGGACGAGGCAACCTTCCTTTCTTTTCAAGCACCCGACAACTCCCAAAACTTTTCAATTTCTAGAAATCTGCTCATATTTCTGCCATTAAATTGTGCTTGTGCACAAATTGACCAGTTTTTGCCATTATTTGTGCTTTCTCAACTACTGTAAAATGATGGGGCATTTTAAAATGTTGACATCTATCTAAAATGACACCATGCACTTGTTTGTTGCGTTTATTATTCATTTTATATTGTAGTTTTGCGCCCATTGCCGATATAATTTGCTATAGATTTAGCACTATATAAGCTGACGTCCTTTCACTCCCATAGTTGAAAAAAAACGTTGCATATTAATCTGAACGTCGCGTTGTACGCTTTTCAGTTTTTCAATTTTCATTTCAATAGTCTCCAGCGATTTCAAATGGCACTGCATCACTTGACCCACGCGTTCGATGTCATTGTAGGTGTTCGAACTGGTAGCTTTATAACAGTCGATTTCATCGGTGAGCTGCGCCAAATTATCCAGCGAGAACGCTACAGTTTGCAGCAGATTGTACATATTGGTACGGTACGTGTCTAAAAGAATGTCACAGTGTATTTATGATTTGGGCGTATACCGTGAATTATACCAGTAATTACGCTCTTGGAACTTTTCTCCCCGCACTCGCATCTTTCCAAAATCACCAACGATTGGTCAATTTGGGCCAGGTTGCATTTTAGAATTTCGATGTTGAGTTCTATTTGGTTCTGGACGAAAATCAGCGTAACCAATTTCTTATGTATTTCGGAAATTGCATGCTCGTTAGCTTGAGTTTTGAGAAAGAGTCGATTGATTTCGTACGCCTGCAAGCAAAAGGTATCTTCTTCGCATCTCAAATGCGACGCGGAATATTCTATAATTGCATTCAAATCGCTGAATGTGGTAATATGACACTTCAAATTTGGAGACAAACTCATTGACATATTTGTCAGTACTAATAGGTTTCTCGAAATTAAAGACATTTCTCACTAGGTTAAGTAAGATAAAGTAAGCATTTTCGACGACGTCTTAGTCTTGGAATAGGTTAGCCAGAAATGCTTTGGTTAGTTTTCAATTACAAGTTTAATCGTTTATGCATCATTGCTTCTTCGTTTCACGTTTTATCCTGGTCCGGATTGACAGATATTACATGACATTAGGTCCATAACGAATGCATTTCTGAAATTTGCATATCAACTTGTCTTTTTTTATGTTTCCTAATGTTTTCATTTTACTATTAAAAAGTTATTATCAAATATTTTTAATAGTATATTTTGGAGATTCGCATAAATTGTAAAATGATTGTTGTATTTTATTAAAAGTACTTCAACCGAAACCTAGAATATATTTAAACAGAAATAAGGAAAAAGGGTATGAATATTTCAACACTCAATCCACCAAAAATCAGTTAAAAATTCGAACCGAAATCAGGACCAACTTTAGGAGCTAATTTTGAATTTCAAAACAATGTCGCTGCGATTGTTCCTGAAATTCCGGGCCGAAACCATTAAGAACGGTGAAATGAAAAGTCTTGTAAAAATTTTGGAATATCAGAACAACATAACAATGTAATTGCGAGCAGCAGTGACATCTTGATATTTTAAAATTTGCTCTGGAATTTTCATTGCGGTTTTGACGTTTCTTATGCAGTTTTTGCCAGATTTATAGGTAGAAAATATAAAGTAGATCTATGGTAGAAAGCAAAGTATAAACATTAAAATTAGCAATAGGTAAATTTATCGGAAACTAATTTGGAAATGAAGATAATACAAATAGAAATTAAAAATCGAAAAATTTACAGAGCAACTCAATTAGTCAAAATAACTTTAGTTTCGGTCATTAAATAAGTAACGGTTAACTAAAAATATCTTTAAATTGAACATAACAATGAAATTTCAATTTGTAGGGGCTTAATATTGTAGGGAAGTTATATAAGTTATTTTGATAAAATTGAGTTGCTCTGTATATTTTGCGATTTTTAAAACTAATTCCTAGGAAATATACATTACAATAAAAAAATATGTGTAAGGAAAAGATTAAACTTTTTACCAATGCTTTTAATTATTTTATCCGTAATTACAACTAAAGTGTAGTAAGTATCTTCTTATTATCCCTTATTATTTCTTATAATACTCTGAAACCGGCTTTATTTTTGCGCCGTACAAGGTTATCAGAGTAGATTATTTTAACTTGATAAAGCTAACCATACTCTTTTCAAATCCTGTACTCTGAAAGTACTCATTTGTATCATTTTATGCTGATTTGTATTTCTAAAACATTTTTTTAGATTATTTTATTTCAATTTTATTAATTAAATGTTTAAAATTATTTTCGCCGTGATTTCAATTTCACGCACACATATTGCTTGCCGTTTCCGGCACTACAGAAGACAGGGCAAACACCAGACACCAGTTTTACAAGTGATTTCAATTCCCCGCGCACATATGTCTGAGGTTTCCGTCATAATTGAGAGGCCGTTTTATGTACCTAGAGACATAGATAGATACTAGAGACCTCTTTTTCTAACAAGATGGCTATATCCATCTCTCCAATATTTGTGTACGTTATCCCAAAGCTGATTTTTGATGTACAGTATGTACAGCATGCTGACAGTCTTGACACATGGGTAGTATGTACGACAAAGTTTTATCGTAATTCCCTTTCTGTTTAAGTAATTTGAAAATCAACAATTCCGAGCTTTTTGTTCAGGTTAACAAGATTTGAGGTGCACAAAATAAAATAAAATTTTATTTTATTTATTTAGTCAAGGTCATATAAGTATTAATATTATAGTTTCATTTTCATTTTACTGAAATCATATTATTCAGATTATCATATTTATTTAAAATCAAAATAAAAATTACATTAGTATCTAATATAATTTTTAGATTATTAATTCAAATATGAGCGATAACAAAAGAAGGAAAAATCGTTTAAACGAAAATTTAAAAAATGAGTGTAGTCAAAAAGCGAAATGATGACTACTGGGTTAAATGCACAATCTTCAATAGGGAATGTTCAATTGCAATTATACAGTTATAGAGGATACTTTCGATTTTCAGACAATAATCCCTAATCCAAGTTATCCCTATCCAAATTATTAAAAAAAATTGTGACCAAAAATTGCGCGCGAACAAAATGTGAGTCTATCGTCATCAGCAAATTTAATAAATACTGCAGGAAAATGCTATCAGAAAATCTAGATTCTGTATCATCGACCCATCGAATCACAATTAAATAAAACTTTATCCACTTTTAGTAAGGTATTTCGATATTAAGAACGGTATTCAAATTAAGATTTTAAATTTGGAATCAATCGAAGAAGAAACATCAGACATTTTATCTAATCACTTACAGACAACAATTTCAATAAGAAAATTTTGTCATCGATACAGCATCAAGTTCAATGTCAATAGATGTGGAAGTAATTATTACAAATATTTATATTTCAATCAAGTTTGAAAGAATTTTGTGAAGAGGCTTTTGCTCAATACAAAAAACTGCTTGGTTAGTCCAAAGTCAGATATCCTACAATTTTGAAGAAATTCTATCAAAACGATATATCAGAAAGTATGCTTTATTTTATTCACAGTCGGGCGTTGTAGTTTCATAAAATTACTCGACAAATTGAAAGATATAAAATCTCAGCAGCAAACGGTTGTATTATATTAAACGATTTACATTCAATGTAAATCAAGATTCGATGATGATTTTTACCACTAATTCTAAAGAAAACTGACCGTTTTGGAAGATTCCAATCTCGGAATAAAAAATGAATTTTTCAAAGAAGTTAAAAATGTTTATAAAATTTGCTACGAACATATCAAAGAATGGATAGTGAACTTTAGAGCATTAAATTGTTTCAATTGGACCCTTCTAAATAGTAAAAAGTTTCTTCAGCGGTCGAATTTGTAGTGAAGGAAGTAAAAAATATCGTTGTTAATGACAATTTTCTCTTTGAAGAAATTCGATGAATAAATTTATATTTAAATCAAGAAAAATTGAAGAAATGGAACGATGACAAAAGATAGAAGAAACCTTTCGGTATTTTGCCGTTCAAAGGGTATTTTCACTAGCGAATGATTGGAGCAGTGAGAAGTCGCAATTTTCGGTAAAAACATTATCATTAAAGTTGTTTGGATTATTAGACGAACATCCTCATTTAGCACAAAAATCCACTCCTCTGAAAAATATGTTTTTAAGAGAAAATAAAGTTTTTATCGTTTTTTCTTCTGTTTTTTTCACCTATGAAATACTTGCAAAGTCTTCTTTTTGGACAAAAAATAGTTGTCACCCTAGTTAACATTTCGATAAAGTGCACATTCTGATTCCCTAAAGATAGTTCGGAAAAAGCAAATTACGACAAAGTTTACATTACAGAAGTTGGACAAAATTTCCCGACGTTAGGTCAACATATTTAATTGATTCAACAACCAAATAAGCAAGTACACAGCAACTTAAAAAATAATTGTTATTTATAACAACTCTACTATTTCGTAAAAATACCTAAAAGAAGTATTATCTCGAAAGCAGTTAGACGTTGCTCAAGAGTTATTTTTAATCTATATTCCAAATAATTATCATCCAACGAAAACTTGCTATCGATGTAGCAAATACACCGTAAAGAACTTCAACATCATTTTGTCATTATGTATGACTTGGCACTTCTCGACATTACTATCTCGACACATTAACTATCACTTCTACTAATTACCATTTTAGATGCTCACTCCACTACCTTATGAGCTGCAAATGCTATCGCTACTGGCAAAATAGCAGGGGGATGTCTGATTATTATATATATATATATATATATATATATATATATATATATATATATATATATATATATATATATATATATATATATATATATATATATATAACAGACTCCAGTCGTTGCCGTTTTCCCGAAGAAGCTAAATTTATCAGAACCTTTCGTGCGTTCGTTAAAACTTGGTCGGTCGCGTTTCAGAAGTAAACGCCAACCAACCAATTTTACATCACAACAAAATCACCAAATTTTAGAGACATGAAATGAGAAACAATAATAGAACAGTTTCTAGAATATAAAAGAAGCCTTTTTACATTTTCTTCACTAACATCATATTTTTCAAGTGTTTTTGGCAATAAACGTAAATGCGAATCAATTTTCGATAATCAAGAAGTTGCAGTGTTGTAAGCGTATTTGATTGTCTACAGCGAGTTTGTGTTATCTCTGTTATCTATTTATTAACTGTTTTTACGCCAATCGGAAAATAATCTAAGTAGCGTTTTTTGCTTCGTTGGTGATTAAGGTGGTTAAAACAGAAGATGATATTTCGGAAAGGATCAGAAAGTTTACAACTAAAATCCCTAAAAATCCAGAAAAATGACCAGAGAAGGATTCAATACATAAAAAAATAAAAGCGTACCAACAATTACCAACAGAAAAAGTTGAAAATCTTTGTACTATGGCCTTTATGTATTAGTTCTTTATTTTGAATTACTATTATATCTGCAGTTTCTTGTTGGAAAGTATTTTTTTAGTCTGTTAATCACAGCACTCAGACTGAAAGGAACAATTAAAAAGAATAAATATAGAGACACGAGTTTTCACAAAATTAATTCAATAATCCAAATACGAACTACAGCTGGTTCACCGAGATAAAATAGCACTAAAAAATAGCGAACTAGTCAAAATATAAACAAATAAAAAGGTTTTTAGTTAAAACGTAGCGTAAGGTAAAAGCAATAGAGAAATTTTGGAAAAATATTTTTTAAGGAGTTGCCACGACAGATTCTACCTGTTTAATCGCTTGGGTCTGCTTGATAGTGAAGAGCTTATTTCTTCGCATTTTTGCTAACTTCTTCCCTTTGAAAAAATATGGTTTTTGTTAGATTTTAAAGCTTTTATTCCTATTTGCTAAAATTCAACATATCGAAGCATTTCAATGCAATGCAAAGCAATGTTTGTTTGTAGGATTAACAACGTTCTTTTAATCGAGACTTGGTTCTCATGACCCGATGCGGACATTAATTAAAAACCTTCGGCCATCACTTCATTTTAGCAGATCTGAATTTTTCTGAAAACTATATCATTATTTCTAACAAATCTTCCCTAAAATTTTGTTAATCTCATTATTGCGCAAAATAATTTGCTTGACTTTAACAATACCTGAAAGACGTATATCTGTAATATAGATCATCTATAATAACAAATTAAAATTATTCAAAGGAACTTATACAGGCTACCCAGAAATTTTGTAAATAGTAACAAAATAAAATTATGTTAATATAAATAATGACTTCATTCAACTTTGGAGCACAAATATAAATTTTTATTAAACTTTCCTGAAGCTTCTGTAACATTAATAGCTGACTTGACCTGCATTGCTTTACGCGTTGGGAAACAAACGTCGAACGGACTGCGTTCCAAATATTTCGGTAGGTGTGAAAAACACGTGGTATCACGATGGAAACCTAATTAGTAGTCAAAATTAGAAAATGACAAATCCTTTCGTTTATTGCAAAACACAAATAGCTAAGTAAATAAATAACATTTTGCCAGTGCGGATTAAGGGTTTTGTCAGCTTAATTTGTTTCGTGCCGTTAGTAGAGATAAATTTATATAAAACGTTTGCAGCAATGCGCCTTTGTATCAAACTGAAAAATTGGCTCCATTTATTTACCAGTTCATACGAGTTTTATTGCGTTTTGTTGGTTTTACTGTTTGAACTTCTTTACACCAACAATATTATTTTCAGTTTTCAGTTGCAGTTATTGCAAACTGTTGTAGGTTGTTGTAAAATGTTGCTCCGTATGAAAAATAATTACTTTCTGTTTGTAACCTCTAGTAATTCACATATTTAAAGTTAATGGCACGACCATATGTTTGTTGTAATCGCTTTTCTATAGAAATTGTACACAATTTTCAAAATTAAACTTATTATAATATTAGATAATATTTATTTCTTCAAATTGTGACAATTTTTTTGTGTTCACATTTGAAAGCACATATTCATATGTTTTTGATATCGTTGGGAATCCCGTTGTATAAAAATACGTCGATACTGTAACTGAAGTACCTTTCATCGAAATCAGTGCTACGAGGAGGACGCGAGATATATTCTCTCACTAAACTGCAAAAATATAGATCTATAGGATGGCTTACATGCTAATTTTCTGATCAATAAAAGTCAGTTATTGAATCCCATCAGAACGACCCTGTGTGACACTTTAAATACAGAATTCATAAATTCAAAAATTGGCGAAAATTGTTGCTTTTTTGATATTTATTATGACCCATTTACTCTGAACTTTGAAGCCTTTAAACGACACTTAACACCAATTAATACACTATAATTTAAAGCGTTAATTAGTTCTTAAATAGATTTAACTTGTAAAAAATATTTTAATAATTTAAACTAGTCCACTGACAGAGTATCTTTTTTTAGACATTTTGGGCTTTCCTTTTATTGGACAGCTGCATCTGTCTGTAGGAAAGACTTGTTTATAAATAAATAAATAAATATACAGCTGTCTTGAAGTAGTTGCTTCATTTGTATCTGCTGACTCAATCACCAACTGGTCTTTCAATATTGGATGACAAAAATATGAATGGACTAGCCGTAAAATAATGTATTCTAATGCTTAATAGACAAGCTCAATTCTTAATTTTGGTATCTTTCCCTTTTATCCTCCTGCTTACTATAATTAGCTTTTACCGCATAGTCATTTTTAAATTATACTACTTGAGAATCTGTGGAACACATTTTCCCCTTTTTTGTTAACATTTACAGAATTCCACCTGATTTAGTCATACTGCACATAGTTCGTCCTGGTAAATGTATATAATAAATTTATCTTTTAAATCTCTAATATAAAAATCTCTAATATAACTGTTAGCGTCTTAAATCTTTTGAAAATTATATTGAAAGAAATTATAACAGTTGAAGAAATGTAGCTCAAAAATTCAGCACAATATTAAAAAATAAAATAAGCGAGCTTAATAGCAATCAGAACCACATTTGTTTTTTAAGTATTATTAAACAGAAGATACCAATGTGGAAGTTTTTCAAAATCTCTCTTCGATTTACATGTTAACGTGCAGTTTGAATCTGAATTTGGACTTTTTCAAACTGGGTTGAACCAACAAGATTTATCAATTAAATTGAAAAATATAAATTAGGACTTCCAATCTAAGTACTATTTTGCGAATTATATAATATACTATATTTTATAAACAATTTTCTCTGCAAAATTATCCAAATTGAAATAGTGACCTCTTTTGTTCCAATTTACCACTGTTCTCACTGAAAGAAGATTGTAGTGTGTGCTTTAAAAACTCAACTCAAAAACAGAACTCAATATTCGAAGGTTCCGCTTAATCTGGCATGAAATTTTGATTTTCAGCCACGCTGACCGGAAAATCCTGCACGTTTTTCACGGATGTCAGGCAAGAGTTAAACTTAGAATATTAATTTTAATTAATCCCGCGCCGCCTCAACCGTAAAACTCAATTTGGCGGAAACCATAAATTTTACCACGAGAACATTTTCGAATAAATCAAACACCAAGTTCAATGCAATTATTAACAACCGAACAAGTTATATGCCTTAGATCTTCGATGTTCCGTAAAAAATCAGAGTGGCAACCATCCAAAACGAAATTTTGGATAGTCGCAGGATCGCACTTCTCATAAAGAAAATTCGACCAAGCTATCGCAAAATCTATATCGGCTGTGGATTCCCTAAGCGCGTAACAAAAACACAGTTCCTTGCCAACAATAATTTATTGATTGCTTTGGCAAGCACTTACATAACAAAAAAATTAAATAGAGATAAATATACACTAGATTATAACTTTTAACTTAATCACCGGTCATCATTTCCATGAATTCTGAAACAAATTATACACCGAATTAACAACACTTTACATGCAATAAGGTTTTGCACGATCGTGGTCTTTTAAGTAGGCTCACCGTATCTGTTGGGAATACTATTGAAGACCCAACCGCAGAGCACGCTAGACAACGGATAACGAAATAAAAGTAATTTTTTTGAAATTAGACAATACAAATCCACTCATAAAATTCAACAAATCTAAGCATTTTATCATCCTTCTAAACTTTAACATAGATGACAGTTTTAAAAAGACTAAATTTTCATTTTGGACTTACGTAAGTTTAGTGTGGACCAAATAAACTTGTAAGCAAGGCCTGGCGCACCTTGTCATTTTCTATATAGGCATTTTGTTGTTAAAAAATTTTACTTTGTCTATATCGTCAGGGGTTGCTTGACACCCTATATCCTCTAAGCTTTTGAGACATCACAAATTCTAATAGATATACATTAATATCAACATTTGTCATATAATGATCCCAGCAATTTCTTAAAATCCCTCATACATAATGAGAGGGGAACAAAATAAGGTCAAAAGTGTTGGATAAAGAGACGACTCGAATCCCGGTCTACTATTTGCACATGCTCTGTAAGATGGGCTCTCAGTACCTATAATGTTTAATACCGATCCTTGAAGATTTCTTTTTCCATTTTTTTTTTTTTGGATTACTATGCTATGGATAAAAATGGCATGGCATAGATATTCAACAAACCTGGATAGTGGCAGCCACGACGCGAAATTGCCAAAAAATATCGCAAAGGTGTTGGTATATTGTAAGAATTAAGTGAACACGTCCCAAAATAAATATAAAATTTGTTTCGTGTATATAAATAATAATATATACTTAATGAATTATTCGTGGGATTGTATTCATTTTTCGACAAAGTACATTTTTAGTGTTCGTAGAATATCGCGGAGGGAAAGGAAGCCGAAGCAGTACCACAAGAAGATTAACTTCTTTGATCTAATTATCAGAAAGCTAACAATACTAACCATCAAAGTCAACGGTTCCAGATCCATCGGTGTCAATCTCGGCGATAATTCCATCGAGATCGCGGCTGGTTAGGTTATCATCCAAAGCGGCCAAGATTTCTTTGAGAGTGCCTGTCGTTATGTAACCATTGCCTTCTCTGTCGTACAACCTAAATCGCGAAGTAAATGCCGTTAAACGAAAGAAGTTTTATAAGGACTGATCACCTGAACGCCTCCTTAAGTTCCTGTTGAGTGTTTGCGTCATCGTCCTCCTCTAAGAAGTGCGAAGCGATTTCAGCGAAACCGTCGAAATTGACTTTGCCGCTATGATCGGGATCGTTTTTCCTGATCAAGTTGTTAAGTTCGCCTTCATCGAACAACTGACCCATGGTATTTAAAATGGTGGCGATTTTGACCGTTTCGATGAAGCCAGTCTTGGATGTGTCGAACATTTGGAACGCTTTGCGGATGACCGCCATTTTTTGGTCATCGTCCGACGACTAAACAAACAAGACGGAGAATTGGTAAAAAAGAATCATTTTCACAATTAGGTGTTAATACAAGAAGAGTTTTGATATTATGTTTCTTGATTTTGTAATTTTTCAACAAGGTCGCGTAAGACGTTGACATCCTTGGTATGACTATAAGGAAGAACTTTAACACCATCAGAAACGGAAATTCTTGTATTGGGCTGCAAAGCAGTAAGATCTGGAAAAGTGGTTTTCAAAGAAATTTGAAGGCGACAACTCTCGTGAACAGTCCTCGATTTTCTTTGCATTTAGTTCGAATTCCTCTAGAATTCCTTCATATTGTTCGCCATAATGCCACAACGCCGCAATATATGAATATTATTCATTATCAGCTTTTGACGGAGTAGTGAATCGTTTGTCTCCATTCCATTACGTCTGTCTTTTTGACAAGACATCCAGCTTTCATTTCAGAAATAAATTTTATTTTTAGGATCTCGCTTAATAATCGAAGTCATTTCTGAAGTGATTAGTCGAATGCGCTTCCGCTGTTCTTGAACCACTTGTTATGAAGGTGCAGAATCAGCCAGTACTTGTGATATTTATTTGAGAGTCATTTATTTGACTGCGCTTTGATGTACTCAAATTGACCAGCCAGCGCACAACGATCCAGATAACCTATATCTCTATTTATAAATCTAGAATCCTCTTGCGTCGGTTGTTGATGAATCGCACTTGATGACGTTTCGCCAACAGCGCTTAACTAAAACTGAACAACCAGCAGGATGATTGTCAAAACGTAAGCAAGTTGGAATCATCAACAACGCAGGAAGAATCCAGAAAGAATATTTTGAAACATATAGAGAACAACTGTTGCCCTAGTAAGTTCGCATATTTATTTGCACGAGAGAGAGGGAAAGAAAGAGCCGGCAAAAATCAGTGTACTCCAATTTTTTAAGAAAAATCAATTTTTTTATGCTCAAGGAGTAACATGTAGATACTGATCAAGTTACTTTGCAATTTGCAACCTCTAAACTTGGATTTGCAATTTTAGTTAATTACATTCCTTCTTTTTTAACATGCAATGAAAATATCGCACCAAGGTTATTATCAAGTTATATAAGTAGAAAACTTTTAATCATTTTCCGCTAAGTGTATTAATGTAAACAATTAATATTGTAAAAATAGAAAATAATTTTCGATCACTTGGGGGGGATGCGATATGCATTAAAATTTTACTCCACCAGTTTCAATACACACTCCAGATAAATTGATCTGCAAAATGACAAACGGCGAATTTTCGCGTTGTGGAAATTTAATTTTCTACGAAACAGGTGAATTTCCAGTTACGAAACATAACTTTAAACCGACCTGGAAATATTCCATGAATTCGTTATTAATCCGGCAAAACTAACGTGGCGCAATTATCTAATGTAATTATAGTAAAGCTCTAGCAACCGCTCTAAGACGTATAATCTATTTGAATATTTTATTAACAAGTTTGTCTGAAGCTTATGTGGCCCCAATCAATAACAATATCGAGATCAATACTGATGCGGGTACGTAGGTGAAATATATATTGATAAAATGAAAAAGGTATTTCGCGACATATGCATCACCCGCGGACTCTCGAAAGAAATTGCAATTTTTACGGGTTTTTGGTTTAATGTTAATTTCATATTGGTTTAGGATATATTCATATATTAAATGTTATCTACTAACAACACTTTCTTTTACAATCTTTTCTTCCCAATAACTATACACAAAAAGGCGTTGAAATAAGGCCTCAATCGGTATTTGTATTTTTTTTTAATTTTCCTTTTTATTTCACCAGTTCAAAAACCCGTCATAAGTAAAATAGCTGGATTTTTACAACATGAACTTTAATTAACATGGGTCTTTATTATAGATGTATATCAAACAACAATGATTACAACAGTTACCAACTAACCAAAAGTAACAAAAAATTTTGTTGAAAAAAAAATGTATTTTAGAATATTTTAGAATTTTAGCTTATCTCGTGTAAAAATAACACTTGTAATTATAAAAATAGCCAAAGCGAAATATTTGGCAAGAACTCTGACCCAAATTTCAATAAATACTGAAAATGATTAAGCTACGGAGCTTAACTAATAAAACTAGCTTAAAATGCATCAATTGAGTTAGCAAAAATGGTTTTGAGTTATTTTTTCTTATAATTTGATATATTGACTCCTACTTCCTAATTGGAAGATTACACCAATTTTTAACGTATGGGTCATAAATTTTTTTTTACCATATTCTCAATATTTGTACATCTAAATGGTGATAACTGATATAGTGTCGTCTTAATTGCCATATAAATGTTTCTAAAGGATATTACATAGAATACTATATTTATTATAAATTAACCACTGGCAAATTTTACTCGATTATGAATATGTTATTATTAAAATCAAACTACGCATTACAGTTTTTAGGTTCATTTTGATAAAGCGTGCGGAAACTGTTAATTTCAGACGAGAGATTCGGTCGCGAACTACTGCGAACGTTTTCAGTACTTTAGTCACGGGTTTGTTACCAATCGTATATTTCGATAGTATTTAGTCATGGTTTTATTACTTCAGTTCTGGTGACCACGTCATAAGCTAATAAACTTGGTGACTAAAATGTAGGATATTATAAATAAATAATAAATGTAGTATGTAGTATAATAATAATATAAGTAATTTATGAAAGTTAACCAAAAGCCGCAATTTCCCCTTCCCCTTCCATCTTCCTTTTGTACCTATATAATTATATGAACAGGACACGGACACACTTTCAGATGAGCTTGTTTTTCAAAAAATAAAACAGAATAAAACGAGTATTCGTACGCAAATGCCAATTATTTTTAGCTACCGAAAATAAAAATAGCGCCCAAAATTAATAAACGATGTCGGCGCTAAAATAGATCAATCTTCGTTATCGGTGACACACTTTACGTAACTTGGTGACTATTTTTTCAAATACATTCTGCCCATCTATTACCAGTCAAAACTCCCCAGCCCATTGCGAAGTAGAGATAACGTCCAATAAAAATGATCACTATTGAGAATTATTATAGCCTTTTAGTGACTAAAGGGCATGTCAAATAAATTTATAATTAATGTGCGCATAAAACACCGCGCACGTCTAATTAGGATTAATCCACACTTCTGCGAACTAATTTTTGTAAATCGCAGCACACACACACGTTCATTGCAAACGTACCATCGTGATGGAATTGTTGGCTAGCCGACCAAATGGAAACAGACACTAGGAAAACATTTTCCACGTAAAAACTATATAGTTCCCCCACCCTCACGGGACTCTAATAAAAATTTGCGAAAAAAAATGAGTCTTACTGTTAAGATATATGCGGGTTAAATCCGCGTTCGTTTTTCGTTTGATGTAGTCGCTTTGGCAGTGGCGTGCGTGAAGGCCGGTTACGCCGCCGTAACTTTTGGATAAAAGTTATTTGCATTGTTGAGATTGTTAAAAATAACTGGTTCTGATTTATTCATTCCATTCTACACCTGAATACCTAAGAACAGCTTAGGATAAATATATCTAATTAGTCAAAGAGTGTTTTTCAGATTTAACTTTGAGTGCAATGTTCTGTTTATTTGCAGGTGACAACACAACACTATACAGTTGTACCGCAACACAATTCTTATGTAAAAAAATTATATAGGACTAAAAAATAAATAAATAAAGTTAATAAAAATACCACCAATATTTGTTTCAGAAATAATAACTTCATGCGCCGACGTTTTTCAACGATTCCTATCATACTGTGCACCAAAATTCATTAATAATTTTAAATAATGGAGAAAACCAACAGGGCGAGTAAAAATAGCCTACTTAAGGCACATTGGATCTGTGGAGATAAAAGAAATAAAGGCAAATTTAAAACTTCTTTATTAAAACTTTCTTCCTTTTTTCAAAAAATATTATAAAGCTAGCGATGTTATGTACAGCACAAACCTGAGAATGGGCCTGACTTTAGAGACGATGATTTTGCTGTTTACTGCCAGCGGGAAAAACCTCATCCACTGCTTCAGCGCAGTTCAAATTGTAGAAGAAAGCGATGATGACTTAACTTCAGTAAAAAAAAGATGAAAATACCAAAAAATACTGTGACCGCAACACAAATAAGAGGGCCTGGTGTCACTGCCCTAAATAATCTCCATATAAATTAAAATTCCAAGACCTTTATTAAACCAAAAGAGTCACGAAATAAAAAATACAGGCATATTCCAAACAATAATCCTAAGGGAAAGGAGAATCAGAAAAGGGTTAAACGAGTTTCAAGCTCTTCTAGGGAAGGCCTTGACACCAAAATTAAAATGCAATCTATAGCAACAATCTTTTGAAGGACACGAGAGGGAAAGCGTGGTGTCGTGAAGAATGAGCGGGTACTGACAGACATACATCATTTATTTATAAAAATTGTTTGGACTAGTAACCTATTTTTTCACTTTTATGACATTTTGATACCTTTGTCCTTTTGCTCTCTTTCCTAATATCGAACATAGGCGATATTGCTTTAATTTTCACTTGGGAATTTGTTAACTTTTAGATACTATTATAAACTGCCTGGAAGGAGGACAGGTGTATGAAGACAGGATCACTAAAATCAAGAAATGCTAGGAATCCTTCGTATTTGTTGAAAACAGTTATTAGTATTCGAAAGATCTCTTGGGAGAAATATCGACTACTTCAACTTATATTGAGAGGCAAAATTGATGGAGACCGTGGAGTGCGCAGAAAATAACTTCCATTGGAAGGGAATTGTTTCACCTCGCTAATCGTAGCCACAGTAATCGCTAAAGTTGCACGTAGAAGTTTATTTAAATTTTACATTATTAAATAGATGTAACAAATAGAAAAACATTCAAATCTAATCTTAATTAACAACGAAATACTCATGTTATCAGGATCATCCAGATTACCAAACTGTAACTTTTTACTGGGTTTTCTTGGAACATTGATGTATTTATATATTTATTGTTTATGTTTACTGAATGATTTGGGGTAGGTACTATAAATCGTTCATAACTTTATTTTATCTGAAATTTTTTTTTCTAAAAATTGGAGGTGAAAATTAGAAACCAGATTTTCTAGAAATATCTGCAAATTATTATAAAAAGCGATAGAGCTAAATATCGGTTCATTAGGTTTAAGTGGTAACGCCACTGTAAATTATTTATTACGAGGTGACAAAAATCTAAAGATAGCTTGCGCATTGGTGGTGTCAAACAATCTGAACGTAATTAGTGATTTTGTTGGAAAATTCGGTTGGGTATATAAATATCCGACTCGGTAATGCTTAATCCATATATCAAGTTTTCTCCTGGCGTCGCTATTTGAATAAAAAACATGGGTAGTGTTTATACGTAATCTGCATGATATATAATGCGGAGTTTATTTGAAATTAAAAAATTTTCTTAAAATTGTATTTGAAGTTTTCTAGTTTTTTTTTAATCGTAATTTTACCATGAAATACAAATCTGATTTCCGGAAGCATACAGGTAAACAGAAAAGTCGCCAATAGTTTTGGTATTGTATGAAGGCAATTGTATGTAATAATTTTTTAAACAAACTTCCACAGACTACTGTAATACTATTTACCAAACTTCTGGATTGTTTCTGCGTCGGTTGTTGTTGAATCATCCCGTCGGCTTCTTCATAGCTTAATTGAAACTCCAGCAACCAATCAATCTTAACCGCGACTCAGGTCTTTACCGACCCCTCATTTAGCTCCGCCCCCTCAAACAATATAAAAACAGTCAGTTTCAGTTAAGCTCTAAAGAAGCCAACGGGATGATTGGCGAAACGTTAGCAAGCTCGACTCAACAACAACCAACGCACGAGGAATCCAGAAGTTTTATAAACAGTAATTTTAATTTGTATAAATTGACGAGCGGATCAGGCGATAACTCAATTGTCGACAAATGACTGAGCGAGATAAGCAAATAAAATACAGCAAACCGTTCTTTTTTTTCCACGTTGTTGCAGTAGCAGGTCGATAAGACGATTACCACACATTGATCTATCACCACAATTAAAATAAATCCTAAACCACAAACAGAAACATGGAATATTGGGAATAGAATTTATAAATTACTCCGCCTTTACAGAAAATTTTAACCTCTCATTTTTGATTTGTTTATTCGACTAAATTAATTTGCATGAAGTTGGTCTATCTCTTTTTAAAAGAGTAAGTTTTCACAAGTCTCATTGTCGAGCCTCGGTCATGCATACTGATGTTTGCCTGTCTTTATAAGACACTAAGTACATCTATCGATATTCAAATATTTAAAATCAGGGAAATAGTAATTATTAATTAAATTAATTAAATTATTAATACTATACTATGATAGATAAGAATGTTACAATAATTCAATTTCATTGCATACACGAGTTACAATATTAAAATATCTATTTGATCTAGACATCTAGGTTTAAAACGGAAAACCGAAAATCAATTAATCAAATTATCAATTTTGGAACAACTTAATCTTAATTAAAATTAGAAAATTAAATTAAAATAAAAAGAACTATATCATATCATATACCAAAAATCTTGTTCGGGTTAGTTTTCGTGAGTTACTTTTTGGCTTCTTTAGAAAATATCTTAATTACTTCAATTTTCTTTTTCTATTCCCGTCTGTAATAGTATATTATGCAACAAGTGCGGTAAACGTCATTTGAATCACGAGTTTTTAATAAACGAGTGAGTTAAAAAGTTTACCTAACGTGTTGCATACTATACTTTTTCTACGACAGTTAGTTTTTGGATGCATTTTCGCAAAACAGCACAAATACATTCACTGACATGACCGTCAGAGTTGAGAGACGTCAAAATTCAAAGCGTGGGAAATATCTCCGAAAACATCCGATTGCTCCCAAACCCGTGTGGTAAAATATCGGAAATGTCCGAAGTGGCTCAGATCCGTGGGAAACGAAACTGGCGTGGTAGAGTGACGCATCCCGCACGCTAGATTGATGTTTAATTAGGTATATTTTCTACTCCCGTCTGCAAAATACCTAATTACACACCGATCTAGAGTGCGGGAAGCGTCACTTTACCACGCCAGTTTCGTTTCCCACGAATCCGAGACACTTCGGACATTTCCAGGATTTTACATGGATTTGGGAGCAATCGGATGTTTTCGGAGATTTTACCGCACTGTTTGAATTTTGAAGTTTGTCAATTCTGATGGTCATATCAGTGAATGTAATCGTGTTGTTTTGCAAAAATATACCCAAAAACTAATACACAGAAAAATGCTATGCAATATATCAGACAATTTATAAATACTACTTGCTATAAGCTACAATTAAAATCTAGTGGACCATTCGGTAAGTAAAGTGACATTTATAATTTAAGTTTCCCACAGAAATTTTACATACCTTTCGCATGAACTTTAGTGGTTTTTACAGTTTTTATATTAATATCTTGCCAACACCAATTGTACTAATCAGTACAAACAAAACAAAATTGAAGATTAGGACCTACTTTTTGTTGCTATACGATCTTAAAAATTTAATCCTCTTAAAATCTCTATCCTTGGATGATTTTTCTTCCAATTACAGTCTTTTTCTTTAAATAAACTAGTTAATGATCAATTGTAAAAGTTAAATAAAAAACATAACGCTTTAAAATTGTGCTTATTGCGCTGTTTATATGACATATCCAATAATACATATCTCTCTGTCTAACGTACAATAATTAGGTTTAATGGCAACTAGTAAATATTTTGTTTGAATTGGTACGAAATTCAGCAATCCGATAATCTGTTATTATTTTTAATTTGTTAAATTGTAATTTTTGCGTGACGGTCGTAGAAAAAGTATAGTATGCAACATGTTCGGTAAACTTTTTAACTCACTCGCTTTTAACTAGCTCGCTCCGCTCGTGTCAAATAAACTCGTGAGTTAAATGCCGTTTACCGCACCTGTTGCATAATATAATATTAGATACATCAAAAGCAGATTATAAAATTTTGTCCATAAATCAATTAATCCACGCCAATTAATAGCTCCATTACTTTTAGGGACGATAACATTTCTGTGAGTATTGCTTAATAGAGCATTGAAGCTGAAAAAACTGACATTTTCACAGCAAATTTTTCGAACTTCACTTTTCGGTAAATATTCCTTACGGCGTTCCGATTTTTTGAAACAACCAACTTTCTTTTTCCTTATGGTCGCGATATTGATTCTTAATGATTGATTGAAGACATAGATAGGTAACATTTTTAAAGGAAATATTAGTCGTTAGAAACAAACTTTATACTATTGAAGAAAGACGAGGAAATATTATCAACCCCTTTCTAGAAAGAAATGAGATATGAGCAAGTAAAACGATGCACATTTATTAA